TTCTCGGTTTCCCTCCCTTCCGTTTGCTTCTATCGGTGAGTGTATAGACCCTAGAGAAAAAACTGAAATATAAATAATAATTATAACAATAATTATAATTAATAATAAAAGAAAATAGCAGAATTTCTGAAAGCAACCACTATATTCCATCCAGTCCAAGACTGGGTACTCTAATGAAAATAGAAGAGATATTTATTTTTTCATATTTATTTATTCTCCCTTTATTTGTTCATTTCACACATCCCCCTTTCATTTTTTTATTTTGTTTTGGTTGTTGTCGTTCATTTGTTTTTGCCATTGGATATGTGTACTTGTTGGAGAGAGACAATGAGAGGGAAAGTTTCTTCTCCTCCATTCTCCTCCTGGGATTTTCAACATGCACACACCCTTGCCCAGTGGGATTTCTAAGTCATCAGTTCTGGGAACTGAAACACCATTGGCCATGTGGGAGTCAAGCACCTTAACCACCACACCACCTACTAGCCCTGATTTCCCTCTTGCTACTCCAAACGCAGACTACCTGATCTCCCTTGGGGACACTGCTCTTCTGTGCACTGTAATAGACAGTGTCCTTGCCCCCACCCCCTAACTCCAAGTAGCCTTTCCCCCACTAAATACCAGTAGCACTTCCCCAGTGGTGACAACCAGAAGTTTCACCAGACATTGCCAAGTATCTCCTGAAGGTATAGTCACTCTGACTGAGAACTACTTGCCTAGGGCATAAGACTTGAAAACTTCTTTACGGAATTCCAACCAAAGCTCATCCCCTACTCCATGCCTAAGTGTGGACAGATCACACCACATAGCTGAATCTCATTTCTGCAAAGGTAGGACAAGTTCCAAAGGTATTGGCCTCATATATCAGCCTTGTGTAAAATCAAATGATAGTGGGGCCAGCAGGTAGCGTAGTGGTTACAGCTCTGAACTCCCACATGGCCAACCATGGTTTGACCTGATGGCTTGAAACTCATGCCAGGCACAATCGTTGGCCTCCTATACAAGGTTTTATAGCTGATGAACATGGTTCTCTACCTTGATGAAAACAGCATAGCATTTTGCTGTATCTAGCTGGAGCTCTAGCCCCAAGAAGGTGCGTGTGTGTTCCAAGGGAACTAGCAAAGGCAAGTAATTTGCAGCACATATTAACTTAGGTTGGCAAAGGTGGTAACATGGATCTGTAGAGGCAGAGGAGTCCACCGAGAGGGAGGAATGGAAATTGGATTCACCTAGTCTCATGGGAACAATCCATGAGCAGGAAAATATTTCTTTCTGCCCAGACAAGTGTCCACAAGAGAAATCAGGTAGTCAGGATCTAGATTAATAAGGAAATGTGCCAAATGCACAGATAAAGGGACCTGTAAATATCTCTCCGATTTTCATCAGAGTTCGAAGCCTTGAGCTGGCTGGAACATGGCTGTTGTTTTTGCAGTCTTCAGTTAGACTAGGGGACGAATGCTTCACTCTGTCCTTCCGTCTTTCCAGGGACAGAGCTTCAGTCTTTGTTATTTAGACTCCTGCGAAAGAATGCAGATGTCTGTGAAATGAACTTATTTTTAGGGACCACATCCAGGTGAGCCTGAGAGCCTTGCAGAAAAGGTTGAGGGAGAACAGAAACTGAGAACCTTTACCCAACGTCACCTGAAAATCAAATAAATCAAACCCAGAGCCAAGAGATCACCATTTGCTTGGCTGACAACTAATTTGTCATTGATTTATTTCATATGTTAAAAATAGAAACATTGGGGCCAGCATATGGTGTGGTGGTTAAGGCACTGGACTCCCATATGGCCAACCATTGTTCACGTTCCAGACCTGGCAGCTTGAAAACCATGCCAGGCACATGTGTGTCCAAGATCCGAGGAAGAGAGTGGAGGAGGAGGTAGCATGGTGTTGCCATCCACTCTGGGCTCTGTGAGTCGTCTCCTTGCTGGTTATAATTTCCAAGAGAGAAAAAGCACTTGGGCTTTGTGAACCCACCCTGACTCAGCAATAAACAACCTGACACCAGCGCTTTGGGTCTTTTTCCAACTCTCTCCACCCTTTGGAGGAGAAAAGAACCTCATAAACCAATATAATCAATAGATTTTTTTTGCAGCTATGACATGAAAATTCTAAACTTTATTGTAAACAGTGCAGCAACTTCTGGGTAGCATTTAGCTGTCAGTAACAGAAAGCTAAACTGAAATAGTAACTAATGTGTTAAGAGATCCTTAAGTGTAAACTGGGACCAGCAAGTGGAATGGTGGCTAAGGTGCTGGACTCCCACATGGCTGACTGTGGTTTGAGTCCTGGACTTGGTGGCTTGAATTCAACATATGGGCATGCACACATGTGTGCCCCAAATCCCAGGAAGGGAATGGAGGAGGGAGATTGTGGCATAGCTATCTCCCCAAGGGAGTGATTTCTCACGTTCCCTCTCACTATCGCTCTGTCGAGAAAAAAAAAAAAAAAGAAAGGAAAAAAAGAGACATTACAACGGATACCACAGATATACAAAGATCATATGAGATTACTATGAACAATCAACTGGCAACAAATTGGATAAGCTAGAAGAAATAGACAATTCCTGGGCACATGGCCTCTGTGGTTGAAAAATAAGCCAAGCACACGTGTATGCATGCCAAAAGTGCTGACGGAATGGAGAAACAGAAAAAAAAATGAATTGTTATGTGACCATACTCTGCTTAAACATATCTCTTGTAATTCACAAATATTTTATAAATAAAGAATTAAATGATTGCTTAATCTTATTATAAGTATGCTTCTTTTTTTTCCCAAGTTTTTGCCAGAGGGCAAGTGTACTCACTGGAGAGAGACAGAGAGAGGGAAAGTAAGAAATCACCCCCAGGGAGGATGGCCACACCACAATCCTTTCCCCTCCATTCTCCTGTTGGGATTTTGGGCACACACACACACAAGCACCTGGCATGAGTTTTATGCCACAGGGTCTGGGACTCAAACCCGGGTCAACCATGTGGGAGTCCAATGCCTCAACTGCCATGCCACCTATTGTCCCTATAAGTGTGAAATTTTTCATTGTATTTGAAAAAGTATCGTGAAGCCAAGAGCAATACCCAGGATTTTTATATTAAGGAAACAGAGGTACAAGATGTGGTTCCCAGCAGTTAGCGTAATGACTATGTCGCTGGACTCCCACGTAGTCAACCACGGTTTGCATCCCGGACCCGGTGGCTTAAAACCCACGCTGGGCACGGCTGCCAGGTGGCATGGTAGTTAAGTCACTGAACTCATACATGCCTGATCAGGATTTGAATTCTGGACCTGGTGGCTTGCCTTTTCACTTTCCTTTCTCTCTCTGTCTGTCTATGGTCGGGTTAAAAAATAAAATCACCGAGACTGGCAAGTGGCGTGGTGGTTAAAGGTGCAGGATTCCCACATGGCCAACAACAGTTCAAGTCCCAAACCTGGAGGCTTGCTTTATCGCTTTCCTTTTCTCTCTCTTGCCTGGTGGCAGGGTAGATAAGGGACTGAACTCCTACATGCCTGACCAGGATTTGAGTTCTGGACCTGGTGGCTTGTTTTTTCACTTTCTTTTCTCTCTCTGTCTCTCTATGGTCAGGTTAAAAAAATAAAATCATCGAGACCAGCAAGTGGTTAAAGGTGCAGGATTCCCACATGGCCAACAACAGTTCAAGTCCCAAACCTGGAGGCTTGCTTTATCGCTTTCCTTTTTTCTCTCTCTCTCTGTCTCTGTCTGGTCAAATTAAAAAATAATAATCATCATCATCAGTGGACTTAAATAAATAAATAATTCTTTTTAAAATTTTTTAAAATAAAATCATCAAAATAAAATAATTCTTTTTTTAAAAAAATGTTTGGAGATATCAAACTACCACAAGCCAATGCTTTGGAGATCCAAAAGACCTGGTCAAGACAGATTTCCTGATTAAATGATGGCTTAATCTTATTATAAGTATGTTTCTTTTTTTTCCCAAGTTTTTGCCATAGGGCAAGTGCACTCACTGGAGAGAGACAGAGAGAAAGTGAGAAATCACCCCCAGGGGGGGATGGCCACACCACAATCCTTTCTCCTCCATTCTCCTGTTGGGATTTTGGGCACACACACACACAAGCACCTGGCATGAGTTTTATGCCACAGGGTCTGGGACTCAAACCCGGGTCAACCATGTGGGAGTCCAATGCCTCAACTGCCATGCCACCTATTGTCCCTATAAGTATGAAATTTTTCATTGTATTTGAAAAAGTATCATGAAGCCAAAAGCAATACCCAGGATTTTTATATTAATGAAACAGAGGTATAGGATGTGGTTCCCCCTGGTTTGGTATTAAGGAATCATGGTTCACCACTTTGTTCAAAAGAAGTATAGCAATTTCTTGGAGGGGCTGCCAGGTGGCATGGTAGTTAAGTCACTGAACTCATACATGCCTGATCAGGATTTGAATTCTGGACCTGGTGGCTTGCCTTTTCACTTTCCTTTCTCTCTCTGTCTGTCTATGGTCGGGTTAAAAAATAAAATAACCGAGACTGGCAAGTGGCGTGGTGGTTAAAGGTGCAGGATTCCCACATGGCCAACAACAGTTCAAGTCCCAAACCTGGAGGCTTGCTTTATCGCTTTCCTTTTCTCTCTCTCTCTCTCTGTCTCTGTCTGGTCAAATTAAAAAAAATAATCATCATCATCAGTGGACTTAAATAAATAAATAATTCTTTTTAAAATTTTTAAAAATAAAATCATCAAAATAAAATAATTCTTTTTTTAAAAAAAAAATTTTGAGATATCAAGATCTGAGTTACTACCACAAGCCAACGTTTTGGCGATCCAAAAGACCTGGTCAAGACAGATTTCCTCAATTCAAGACCTTAGAGAAAAATCTAAGTCAGGACTGATCAAAGGTGTTGGGAGGTTAGACTTCTGGGAGACAGGTGAGTTCATGCAGAAGGAAGAATTAAAGCCAGATTCCCCGGACATTTAATCTGGTGTCTTGGGAACATAGAATACACATGAAGAAAATTTCCTTGGGAGCAGAGCAATGTCTCCCAGGGAAATGACATGCTCAGAGTTAGGATAACATCAGGAAATATGTCTCGTGGGCAGATCCAGGGAGATGTAAATACCTGCTCTGCTGTCTCTTAGTACGAGCAAGCTTGGGCTGTGAGGGACAGAGTTGTTTCTTTTAAAGTCCTAATCTGGGTCAGGCACTTATGTTTGGCTCCTTCCTGTCATCCTGTCTCCAGACAGGGTTTCAGTCTCCATCATCAACTGTCCTGGGAGGAATTCAAGTCTCCACACACTGTCCTTTCTTCCAGAAAACTCATCGAGGTGAGTGTAAAGGCCCAGAAGTTACTGCAGGAAAAGGACAGAGAGAATGGATACCATGAATATCTCCCGGAGGTCACCTGAGAGCTTAGCCCAGACCCAAGAGTTTGATGTAATTATTTACTTGCTTTCTTGATGAATGAATTTATTCATGTATTTATCTGATTCTCAAAAGTTATTGAGCATTGCAGTTCAGCGATGGAGAGTAATTACGGACAATTAATAATGGTCTTGGAGCTCCCGTTGGAAGAGAGAGGGGGAAGCTTAAAGTGATTCTAGTCAAAGTAGAGCGTTTGGGAACCAGCAGATGACATAATGGTTATAGCACTGGACTCCCATGTAGTCAACCATGCTTCAAGTCCTGGATCTGGAAGCTTAAAACACACACACTCTGTGTGTGTGTGTGTGTGTGATGTCCTGGATCTGTGTGTGTGTGTGTGTGTGTGTGTGTGTGTGTGTGTGTGCCCAAAATCCTAAGAGGAGAATGAAGGAGAAGGGTTTGTGACATGGCTGGCCCCCCAGGGAGTGATTTCTGATTTCTTGCTTTCTGTCTCTCTGTCTCTTCAGTGAGTATACATGCTCTATAGCAAAAATCTCTTTTTAAAAATGTAGAACATTTGGGAACCAGCAGTTAGCGTAATGGCTATGTTGCTGGACTCCCACATAGTCAACATCGGTTCGCGTCCTGGACCCAGTGGCTTAAAACTCATGCCAGGCGCATGTGCGTGCTTGCCCAAGATCCCGAGAGGAGAACGGAGGAGAAGGGATTGCAGTGTGACCATTCCCCCTGGGGGGGTGATTTCTCGCTTTCTGTCTCTCTGTCTCTGTCTGTCTGGCAAGTGCACGCACCCTATAGCAAAAATCTCTCCAAAAAAAAAAAATGTAGAACATTTGTCCAAGGATCTTTGTAAATAAATGGAAAAGAAAAATAAGGTATTAGTTATGGAAGGGTATACACTGCAGCAAGGACATTTCTTATTTATTTACATAATTTATTTTTTCTGTTTGGCAGAAGGTGCAGGTACTCCCTGAAGAGAGACAGGGAGAGAGAGGGAGGGAGAAAAAAAAGTGAGAAAGCACCCCCATGGGGCATAGTCATGCCCCACTTCCTCCATACCTCCCTTCTTTGGGAGTTTTGGGGACATGCACACTCACTCAGCATGTTTCTCATGCTGCCAGATCTGGGACTCAAACTACATGGTTGGCCATATGAGATCCAGTCACCTTAACTGCCAGGCCACGGGCTAGTCCTTTATTTATTTATATGCTTATTTATTTTAGGTTCTTGCCATATGGTGCATGCACTTGCCAAAGAGTCAGAGAGAGGTAAAGTGATAAATCACCCCTCAGGTTGGACGGCCACACCATGATCCCTTCTCCTCCATTCTCTTCTTGGGATTTCGAGTACATATGCACATGTGCCCAGCATGAGTTTCAAGCCACTAGGTCCAGGACTTGAACCATGATCAACAATGTGGGAGCCCAGTGCCTTAACCACCACACCACCTACTAACCCTACCTCTTATTTACTTTTAAGATGGAGCATGTTTCAGTATGTTTCCTTCTTGATGCGAAGCATTTATACTAATCTTCTGAATATTGCTTTACATAAGCAGTCATGGGCCATACATTTTACACTTTCTCATGATAGGTATTTAGATAAAATAAAAATTGCATTTAATAGATGAAAAGTGGTATGCTAGCAATTTTTACTTTGCCATTATTTCTTTTTTTTTGGAGAGGTTTTCACTATAGGGCGCATGCGCTCGCTAGACACACAGAGAGAGACATAGAGACAGAAAGCGAGAAATCACCCCCCAGAAGGGATGGTCACGCCACAATCCCTTCTCCTCC